CCTCTGAAGTCACTAGCATGCAGTTTATCTTATCTGGACATCAGCTCATACACAAATTACTGTGCCGTAACAAGTCAGTGCATATTAGTTGTTCCATGGAAACTGTCAAAGCGCACAGTCTGCCACACCACATGCTGTGGTAATGGCAAGCTAATTTAGCTTCTTAAATCACGTTTGCCCACAAGTGTTTTTTCAGGCTGCATGCAAGTCTGTGGACAGTTACCGTGAGCAGCTGACATACATTAACTTGTTTTTCAATAGTAACTCCTTCACATGCAAAATGCTTAAAAAGTTCTTCAGTGTTTTGGAGTCCCCCCCTGACCAGTGTTTCAGGGACACTGGATTTTTCAGGTGATCCAAATAACAATAACTTACAACTGCACAATTGCCGAACGGAACCATAGATAGATATTCAAAAGCAATATAATGTATGTTTCTCAAAATACTATACCTGAAGGCTCGGATGGTGGTAAGACCTTCAACAGTCTCTGAAAAATGGGAGAGTAATGGTAGCTGAGTGCTGTCATCCAGCTGTTGCAGGTCCCTGGAGAGGATTACAAAAGGGATTTTGTAAAAAGTCAGTTCTGTCGTGCACTTATTCTCTTGAAACAGATCCAGGGAGTGAAAGGGAATATCATCACATTAATTATATACCTAAGGTTTACATAGATTGCAAAGCAGTGCTGCATATCTCTGAGCAGGGAATGAAGACCCCAGGAAGATTCTTCTTTTACCATTTGAATACAAATAGTGCTGGAGTAGTCTTCTCATTCACGGCTTTCCCTTATTTCTCCTATATTCCTTTTTCTTATACTCAAATTTTTTATTCATTTAAACACCATTCTGACTCTATGCTGAACATAATTTTAACGGGATAATGCAAATAAGAGCTCGGGTTAAGCTGAAGGCAAAATACAACTTCCTCTCTTTCCATTTCATCCCCAAACAACAGCTCAATCTCTCACTGAGCTAACAGTATAACTCATACACTCAGGAGACTAAATGAGAACGTGCACTCATCATTAGGTTGTGCTTCTCGATTTCATGTTCCGTCACCAAATCAGTGGAAACACACGTGGGGTGAAATTCTGTTTAGTCTCAGTTCCTTCCAGCAGGAAGTAGATTGGCTGTGAACTCCCCCTCAGTCCATGCATACATAAAGGGGACAAATGCAGCATTGCCACAAATGCTTCTTGAGTGCCACCAGGGGGGAAGCTGTATGACCTTAGAAGGAGAGAAATCACAAATATGGCTAAAGTTTTTCAACTTGTAAAAACTAAAAGGTACTCAAACCAAGAGAGGATGCTCATGCATGTTGTATTCCTAATGGGCAGCAGTACCACCACGGTTATGCTGCATTCTCCAGCCTCTCCCTGGCTTTACGGATTTACACTTCAATTTGGGTAGGCAGAAATCAGTTTTCTTGTTCTGTCCCCACATTATCTTGGTTGTGCCCAGTATGCATCTCTTGGGGAAGACAGAATCTAGTTGGTTTGTGTCCTGCAGACTCTAAGAAACTTTGATCACGGACAGAGACTCTGCTCTTGCCTCTTAGAAGTTCTGCTCCAGAGCTGCAGACAAAGGCACTTACAAAATGACACATTTTCACTATAGTAGATTTGGCTTACTTGCAGAGAGGGCCCATGCTTTTGCAGGACCAAATTTAAACATGAAGTTCCCTAGCATTGCAATTCCACAATGGAATCATGCATTGCAGAAGATGTATCTGTTTCCAGAATGATACTGGTTTATGCTCTTACCGTGATGCGACTCTGAAGTACTTCTGGATGAAGTAACACATGATTGCAAGGGGAACCAGGGCAATGAGAAACATTGGCGTGACATATGAGATGACAGCAAGAGCAGATACACACAGCAAAGTGGAACGACTCAAGCACTCCAGGGTAGCTGGAATGTGCTGCATAAAGAAGAATAAGCACACAGAATCTTCCATAGTATATCAAGTTTTAAACAGCAATATTTCACTTTCCTTTCTCCCACTTATACAATGAAAACAATTTAGATGGTTTGAAGCACTAAGTATACAGGTCTGCTTTTGAATTGACTGCTGGGTTTTGGAAGTTCTGAAGGGATTTCTGTGGGGATGCTTCACATGCCTGCAATGTGGACCACAATCCTCATGTCAGCGGATTACAGATAGGATGCAACAGACAATTTTAGTGTCTGCACCATGAACTGGCAGTGCTGCCTGGTGTAAACACTGATAATTTGAATTTCAGTCATTTCTTCTTTGGGCAGCAGTATTTTTTTTTTTTTCTCATTGCATTTGTTCATATGTGTCAAGTGAATGTGTTTACCCACTTTTAAAAAAAAGTACATCCTCTTAATTTGGGGATATCGCTATTGATCTAATTTCACCTTCCTTTTCTATACAGAGCATCTTAATCAAATAAATGGGTTTTCAACGTGCTTTTAAGATGAGGAATTCATTCTGAACGTAGAAAATCATGATGCCAACTGATGTAGTAGTCAAAATTATACATAATCAACAAACTTCATCTAAATGGGTCTATAATAAATGAAAATCCCATCTTTCAGAAAGGAAAAGATAGGATAACTTCAGAGCTTGAATATATTTATTCAGTACCTGATCAATGGTATTGCAGTCAGCTGAAAATCTGTTCAATATACTTCCCAGAGGTGTTGTTTCAAAAAACCTAAAACAAGACAAGGAATGGGAAAGATCACCATACCAATACTAGAATATTTTTGTTTTCTTTTCTTCCCACACCCCCATACCCCCTGCTCCTTAAGCTGGGCACTATATCACAGACAAGTTTCTCATTTTTCCTGGTAACCATGGCTTTCCAATGAATGGCAGTCTTGAATGTAACCCAAGAGCAGCAACCCTACTCAGCTCCCTCTACCGCCTAAGCTATGCAAATCACAATTACATTTAAAAATATCCTTTTATATTGTAATTTGAGGCCTTTTCAATGCATGAAAAATGCAAACGCAGTTGAATTGCAAAGGCTTGCATTTTTTTCTGGGAGTAGAAATGCATAACTAACAACTTGGAATTTTATATTAAAAGATGTTTACATATGTAAAATGCAAACTTCATTATTGCTACGCTGTTGTTAACTGTTCCACAGCCCATGTTGAACCTGAAGTCTACTTCTATCCCAAAACAAGGTTTAAAAAAAACATCTGAGGTTTTACCATGTATATTATTTCTCCACGATTTCTAGGTCAAATACAGTTAGCTTAAAAATAAGAAGGTATTTTTCCTAATGTTCAGTAACAGCTACAGGTTTGAATCAAGCTACAACTTTACTTTCATGCATTAGAAAGAAAACTTGTGCAGGACAACAAAGGCCTTTATTGGTGTCTGTGTATCCCAATGGACTCTAATGATGCCTGCGATGAAACTCTTCTAAGCTCATTATCTTTCATAGCTTGCACCATTTCTGCTTGACAGTAAATATTTCCAGTTCTTAAGATTATGATCCATGCAATGAATGAACTGTCCACATATTGATCAATAATTGTAATTTCTCCCTAATTAAAAAATGCAAAGAGAAGAAACATGCAAGGAAGTAAATCCCTGAAGTCACAGTCAGGCAGGAGAAGCATCTCACTAGTGTCTAGGAACTTGAGCAGCCTGGGAAACACTGTCAGAAATTGTTCAGTACCTTGATACCTCGTGATTTTTAATGATGTGTGAAAAAAAGTGATTCATAGGCACTTCTTAATAAAAACTGTGCTTAGAAGACTGCCTCGACATAAGGAACACAAAAGAACTACATTATAATTTGTATTACAGTCAGGAATACCTCATTGGAGCCAAAATAATTTTATTTAGTAAAGAAGAGTGTAGCTTTTTGGTGACTTTCAAGCCAGTCCACTCCACTGCTATTGATGTGACAAGACATAATACAATCCCAAGACAGCAGAGAATGCTGAAAACTTTTGAATATGGAGAATGGTTGAAATCCTAAAAAACAAAGAAAGAGTAACAAAATGATTTGCTGTAAATTATGTTTTAACGAAAATGCAAACACATAAATGCAAGACTGAAAAATGTAAGGGATAAATTCTTTATTCTTCTTGAATTAAATCGCCAATGATTTTCAACCATTTTATTATTATTTATTATCCTGCAGGGAGAGAAGCATTTGCATGAAAATAAAAAATTCTTCAGAAATCTTAAATTACAAAATACTACTAAAAGCTCTGAAAAGATACATTTGATAATTTCATCTGAAGGAAAAAATAAATCTTTAAAACATTATTATGGCTCTGTTGTTTTGGTCTATTTCTTAATAAGAACAAATAGATAAGTTTTTTATTTTGAAATTCTAATTTAATATCAAACCCCAGCATCAGTAAAGCATCTTTTGATGTTTTGACTCCAGTAAAGTCATACATGCATCTCCCAAACATTAATGTAAATTATTTATAGGCATTAAATCCCAATAAAGAAAACAATCCCAGCTCTAGCAAAATCCCTTCACTACTGCTTGATACATATAGAGTACCCTGCTACGTAACACTGTGCATTTCATGCATAAAATCACATAAAAATCAACTGAAAAAGCATTTTCATAATAAAAATTGTTTCCCCTATGTTACAAAGCCTGAAATTCCCCTATGTTATAAAATCAGAAAGCCCTACTTACAGTGACAATATAACAGTACAGGAAAAAGAAAAAAGAACTATGATACCAAAATCACTTTGGAGACAAGGTTTAGGCATATCAGGTAGATGATGAAAATACAATAAATCTAGCAGAAGGAGAATAACGCACAAACCTGAACTGTGAGGCTTATTGCATTGTGCACCCGAAAATGCGTTAACCTTCAAGATAGGCTGGAGTGGCTCTATTACTAAAAATATAGCACACTGCATACAAATCTTAGAGCAGAGATTGACAGTGGGAGATCACCACCACAGTTAAATCATAAGAGGAAGGTGAATGAGGCATTGCGTACCTCACAGTGGGAGCAGTTTTTCAGCTCTATCTCTGGCTTCCCAGAAATGGCATCTGAGGTCCAGTGTGCCAGGCAGTAGTCGATGGCCACCATTACTGTGTGCTTGAGCAGCTGGGACAGAACCAGCAGTGGCAGAAGGAGGATGCCTGCGGTGCTGAGGTACTTGCCACAGGCTCTCCAGGGCATCTTTGCTCTCTGGTGCAGCACTGAAGACAGGTTGTCTTCATCATCACTTTCTGTTACCTCTTCTGCAAAGTGCAAGAAAATAGTACAGCCACAATGACTTACTTGTAGACACCTTTCATAGGGGCTGGGAAGTAGCAGCTGCAAAACAGGGCTTACCACATAAGATAAAGAGTAGCTTTAAGGTGGAATTACCTGTACAGGCATGCACATATTAATCTATTATAGTAGTAATGCATGCTAAAAAGATTGCACTTGGTGATCAGTGTCTTCAGCCATGTTTTTGCAATTCAGAAGTACTAGCTTGATAAAAATAAATTGCAATTTTTTCCTGTGTAAACCCTGAAACAAGCGTGCTTAGCTGTTGACAGGTTTGAAGCTCACCCAGCATAAGTTACTCAGTATTATCTGTCATTATCAAATTATGTTCAAGTGTAATAAAAATATTTCAAAAGCTTAGAGGAAGCTATGACTTCTGAATTCTTGAAATCACTGTAGTCCAGAGGTAATACAAATGGAAACAGCGCTCTTATCAATTGTGACCAATCTGAAAAATTATTATTCTCTTGACAGTTTGAATTACATTAATTCATGCTAATAAAATTTAACTGTGAAACAGTGATGTAGTGGCACTGGGCTCAAAGGGTGCCCTTTTACCTTCATCCTCTTCATCATCTTTCAGCAGAGCTTCACGGGAGTACATAGTCCTCCGGAGATTTGTTCTTTCCAAAACAGTTTTTGTCTCAATAATAGTCTCCTAAAAAACGGACAGTTCATGTATTTTCAACCAAAGAATTAATAAGAAAAATTACCAGCTATGACAAAATTTGTTTCTAAACAGAGCATCAGTGAAAAATAAAAGTGAGAATCTTAGAGCAGGCAGTTTTAAGTGATGGATTTGCTATCTGTGGATAAACCCAGACGACATAAATTAGGTCTCCGACATTAATTTGAGGTTGTCAATCCCAACCCTTTTGCATCTAGGACATATATCCCTGAATTAATAAGAACTAAGATTCATATCTCATTCTTCCTGTGCTACAGTGTTAAAGACAAAATGTGTTAAGCTTGATATAGGCACATCTGAAAAACTTAAACCAAATGCAATGAGTAAATTCAGGCATATTTTAGAAGCAGTTTTCACTATTGCACACTACCAGTATTTTTCCTAAAGTGGTCCAATTTAATATTCCTTAGATCACAGTATCACACAGTATGCTAGAGATTGGAAGGGACCTCGAAAGATCATCTAGTCCAATCCCCCTGCCGGAGCAGGAACACCTAGATAATGTTACACAGGAATGTGTCCAGGCGGGTTTTGAATGTCTCCAGGGAAGGAGACTCCACAACCTCCCTGGGCAGCCTGTTCCAGTGTTCCGTCACCCTCACTGAGAAGAAGTTTCTTCTCAAGTTTAAATGGAACCTCCTGTGTTTCAGTTTGTACCCATTACCCCTTGTCCTATCATTGTTTGCCACTGAGTAGAGCCTGGCTCCATCCTCGTGACACTCCCCCTTTATATATTTATAGACACTAATAAGGTCACCCCTCAGTCTCCTCTTCTCCAAACTATAGAGACCCAGCTCCCTCAGTCTTTCCTCATAAGGGAGATGCTCCACTCCCTTAATCATCTTTGTTGCCCTGCACTGGACTCTCTCCAGCAGCTCCCTGTCCTTCTTGAACTGAGGGGCCCAGAACTGGACACAATATTCCAGACGGGGTCTCACCAGGGCAGAGTAGAGGGGAAGCAGGACCTCTCTCGACCTACTAACCACCCCCCTTCTAATACACCCCAGGATGCCATTGGCCTTCTTGGCCACAAGGGCACAGTGTTGGCTCATGGTGATCCTGTCGTCCACTAGGACCCCCAGGTCCCTCTCCCCTACACTGCTCTCTAACAGGTCGGTCCCCAACCTATACTGGAACCTGGGGTTGTTCCTGCCCAGATGCAGGACTCTACACTTTCCCTTGTTATATTTCATCAAGTTACTCCCTGCCCAACTCTCCAGCCTGTCCAGGTCTCGCTGGATGGCAGCACAGCCTTCTGCCGTGTCGGCCACTCCTCCCAGCTTAGTGTCATCAGCAAACTTGCTGATAGTACACTCAATTCCCTCATCTAAATCGTTGATGAATATATTAAATAATACCGGTCCCAGTACAGACCCTTGAGGCACTCCACTAGTTACAGGCCTCCAACTAGACTCAGCCCCATAGACTACAACTCTCTGGCTTCTCTCCTTCAGCCAGTTCGCAGTCCACCTCACTACCTGATCATCCAGTCCACACTTCCTCAATTTAGCTGTGAGGATGCTGTGGGAGACTGTGTCAAATGCTTTGCTGAAGTCAAGGTAGACCACATCCACCGCTCTGCCATCATCCATCCACCATGTTATTTCCTCATAAAAGGCTAAGAGATTGGTCAAACATGATTTCCCCTTGGTGAAGCCACGTTGACTGCCCCTCATAACCCTCTTTGCCTTAAGATGATAATATTTTGATAGGGCTTCCTATCAAGAATGGATCAGAGGCAACAGTTTCAAGAAAATATGAGATGTCCAGATGAAGGCATTTCTCTTAATAGATAAATAATAATAATTGTAATCATAACACTATGCTCATACTAAGTCAGAAATCACACAGAGCATATGGCAATCCTTGCTAATGCTTTCAACCTACAGGGAAAAAAAAAAAAAAAAAAAAAGCCTAATTTTTTGAAAATTCTGATTGCCCATCAAAAACCTTCTCCAGCTCTTGGTCCTGTCGATTCATTAATGTCTTCCAGTGTTCAAAGAGCTCAGTCTCCGACTTCTGAATGTCCTTGAGTGTTCCTTCTCTCTGGATGGTACCATCTTTCATTGCAATTATCTAAGAAGTTGGAAACAGAAGTGGTGAGATGAATGGCTGTGTATCTCTATTTATTTTAAAGTTATGTTACTGCGCCTGGACAGAATTTTATCTTTACTAAAATAAAGAATATTTCTGACAGTAAATTTGTCTTCTAAAAAGACAGTGGCGTAATCACTTGACTCAAGTCGAAAAGTTCCTTTTACTCAAGATCTTGCAAAATCAGAAACATCCTGCACTTCATGCTTTCAGAAAGGAAGGCTGCTTTTAAGGAAGAAGGAAGATTGAGGTCCCCATCAGTAGACAGGAGAGTGCATTATTCTTCCTAAATACTAGTCATTAACAAGATTTTAGAGTTCTCTTACCTCCTAAAAGAAAAAGGCTATTAGCAACATACTCTGCAGCATGCTTTGCCCTCATTCAGGCAATTAGATGTGAGCATGCTGGCTCCACTATCTGTTTGATCTAATGGACCTGATAAGGAAAAGCTAGGGAATTTGAATCTCTAAAGCTTTTAACAGCATGAACAGTGGACACAGTCTGGAATAAAAACAAACTATAAATGCAAGACAAAGTCTGAAGAGCTGGTTTCCAGGTTTATATCAGTGTAACTATATTATAGACACAGTGTAACTACCTTCACTTTACATCTGACAAGCAGAATTGGAAAATGAGGCATGTGGGTTGTAAATCCACATGACATCATCAGAAAATAGTTAATGCAGTGTTTACTTTTCTCTCTTCCTGGAAACTTAGAACTTTACATGGGCAGGGGGTGGGGGAAATAATCTATCCCACTTATTGCAAAGGATTTACACCAGAAGAAGGGAAAAAATAAAGCAAACAAGGATCTTGCTGTTGTCAGTTTATTCAGGAAACTTCTAAGTGGGCTGGATTTGAATTCTTCTCAGAGTTTTGCTACGAAGATTTAGGAGGCCCATCACATATACTTTTATTTTAAATTCCAAAATAAAATAAAATAAAAATTCCTGCTGCAATCCATTGGGTAAGACTTGCTAAAGCTTAATAAGAGCTGTGCTTAGGGGGAAAAATACATTATTTCTTAATAAATATTTTTAATTACAAACTTAATTAATACAAATATTCCTATCCTACAGGCTGTTTGGAACAGTATATTTCATAAAACATTACTGAAACCCAATTAGAAGGCAATAAAAATAATTCTCATAGACATCTCATGAAGCACAAACACCTAGCAATGGGTCTGACATTCATAAATGACATTCATAAATTATACTGATACAAGGCCATAGATGTGCATATTTAAAAAAAAAGGAAACGTATAGTATTGAAGAAGAGGACGCCAAGATGGACTTTATAGGGAGAGGAAGAAGAGGTGCAGAAAACTCCTGTATCCTGAAAGACAACTGGAAAACCAGAACTGTGTTGAGAACAGTGGCAATTTGTAAAGGTGTACAACTGAGGGACAAGGTCATAGTAGACACAATAAGGGAGAAATGCTGCCCACCGAAAACACGACCAGAACAAGATTAATGTTTATCTGCAACTTTACAGCAAGCCAATATGAAGAAGAGGAAGCAGCTGAAATTATTGTTTCCTGAGACAGACTAACTGCTGCTATAGGCCGTGCGAGATGCAAATGAGAAAGAAGCCCTGCTAGGAGGCATAACTGCCGTCATCAATCAACATGGGCAAGAAGATTGAAGATGTTGCAGCTGGATAACTGCAGGAGAACTAGATGCAAGGCCAGTGTGAACCAATGAGACTCTTCCCCCCAGAAAAATTTCAAAAAAACAAACCTCCTTATCCTAAATGATTTGCCTCATCTTTGACAACTACAGTTGCAAACTGCTATAGAAAGCATACCTTTTTTTCTTTCTTTTTATTTTTTTTTCTGCAAACCAGAAGATCTAACAAAAGAAGCGTAACAAACCAATTTCTTAAAATTTTGCCAACATACAAAGGGTAAGGACATTCTTGGCAGTACCAACTCAAGGAAAGAGTTTCTTCCTTGTATTTCCATGTATCTCAATATCTATAAATACACTTTTCTCTGTGAAAGCACAGAAAATTCCTAGTAACAGCCCAAGCAGTGACAAATATGTTACTCAAATGTTTTGCTATTTTGAGGTTTAAAAAAGAGCTAAATTTTCCAATATAACTAATAGTTCGGATATTCAATATATTTTAAATGCAGCCTGTTTCAATGAGAATAGTATCAGGTGTATGAAAATCTGTCCTATTTACGTGTTCTAAGATGGGAATCCCAAAATTATGGTACCCAGACTCACTGGCTAATTTTCAAATGATCTTTATTATGTCTCTTCTCATTAAATTAGTGCTTGGAGGAAAGATGAAGTGGAAGCTTTGTTTGTAGCAAGATATATTAGTGCCCCATTATTGCCTCCTCAGAAAAATCGAGAAGAGCTGCCTTACCCAGTCAGCATGGGGTAAGTACTGCAGCTTGTGTGTTACTAGCACGATAGTCCGCTTGTCTTCCCGTAGCATTTTCAGGATCCCTTCTTGCATGAGGTGGTCACTGAGGTGGATATCCAGTGCAGAAAATGGATCATCCTGCCACAAGGAAAAGAGATCAGCTTTTGGAGCTAGCACTCTAAAAAAGATTCATGGAAACTGGCAAATTTTTAATATCAGTAAAACCTGTTACATCAATACAGACAATCAAAAGGGGCCATCAGATCCAAATTGTTCTGGGGAATGGTTTTCTTTAACTACATAGCAACAAACCTTGAACTGTCTTTTTGCAGCAAGTGCTCAGACACAGGGTAACAGCAGCTATCTAAACACTGATTTCCTGAGGCTTTCAGGAAACTGCTCAATAGACGTGTTTTGTAGCCTACATAACTGCAGTACACTGCTTCTGTTGGCCTCAAAACAATGCAGCAATATATGTCTGTGGCATATCTTACATAATTGCTCCAGGGGCAGTGAAAAAGAGCACATTTTTGTTTCGTACGTAATTGCCTTCTGATTTTCTTTTCTAACCTATAAATCAAAATCTATTAATGAAGAAACACAAAAGGAGAAATACTGATCATTTTGATGACTCTGCTCAGATGCTTGATTTATGACCTAGATTATTTTCTTGAAAATATGAATTATATGCAATTAATTTAGACATGAACTAATCTGTACCATCTTTTGAGGGACTTGTTTACCTAATCCTGCTTCTGTGGAGTTTCAAATCTATTATTTCTGCTTGCACAAGTGATACTGGCTGTAGAATTTACTTAATATTATTATTTCATACTATTATATTACACTTAAACCAGGATTTCTTAAAAATGAGATTATTTTTTCTTTTCTCTAGGTGTTTGCTGATAAAGTAGGGTTGAATTTGAATTAATTCTGCTTTGTGAGTGACGTCATTGCCACCAGTTAGATAGGAAGAGGTATAAGCAAAGAGGTGAGGGCTTTAAAAAATCCTCTTGAAAGTGTGTGCAACTGTTTGTGTACTGTGCTTACTAAGCCAGAAGGTATGTTGTCAGCTTTACTGCTGCAGTTTTCTGATCTGGTACAGACCTAAACATCATTCTGAGCCCTGAGTTAGTGCACAGCCATGTCATGTGCAATGCTGCACTGCTGGGCGCTGTAAATGTCCATGATGTTGCACTGTGGAGTCAGGTGAGGCTGGTGATAAAGGTGGCACTCACCATGTAAGATTATAATGATGCATTCATTACAAGACACCTGATAAAAAAATTGGTTCATGCTACAGGACTAGTCTGACATGCAACAAAGAAAATATCCTAATTACAGTGAAAATCTAAGTCCCAGACTTTTAGGGATGACTGCTAACGTGCATAACTTTTCTAATCCCATGTGACTCATGTTTCACTATCATAACAGCTGGATTCAAAGCTCCTTGGAAACTGAGTTTAAGAAGGAAGTCCTAAATTGGAAAGCCAGCAAGCTTCCTAATATTGACTGCATAAATGCATCTGTTTTGCTACCTAGTAAGTTTTCAGAGGCTGCTCTGACTCCTTTTTCCATAGAGCTTCTGTTGAAGTTAGGACAACAAGCAGTTCAGGGTGGAAAGATTTAATATGTTGCAGGAAGAAAACACCACAGACACAGGACAACGTTAATTTTAGGCCTGAGACAGCTTAGGAATTTCACGAATACACCTAAGTAAAGTATCAAAGATAAACACAAAGGTCAAAAAGAAATTTGAATAGACTAAGAGGGGAAGCATCAGCATTGCAATTTGTATCCTTATACCTATGTGTCTGTCAGCAGCATTTAAAAAATGCTTCTTACCTGAAGGCTAGCTAACAGCAGATATAAAATAAACAGTGTACATTTGGCTTAGCTCAGTGAAGCACAATAAAATACTCTAAATACTTGCATCTCATGATTCTATTTGGAGCATAAACATAATGGCACCTACTCACCAGGAACACAACATTTGTCTGCTGGTAAAGTGCTCTTGCCACACTGATGCGTTGGCGCTGCCCTCCAGACAGATTAATACCCTAGAAATAAGTAGGAGAAAAAACAATCAGACAGTTATAAAAAATATCAACTAAATATTCATATTCTGATTGGATTATCCACAGAAGACTTTCTGGACAAAGAAACTCAGAGGAATTTTTCATAAGTGTGGGCCTGCACTTCAGCTGAGAACACAGCACAGAAATTGTTAGAAAAGCCAGAGCACTCTGTCTGGAGCTGTACTCCATACATACCAGAGGGACAGGAAATGTTTAATGGTTTGTGATGACATAATGGTGTAGGTGGCATAGATATTCTGCAGGCAGTTTAAACTTCTACTCAAAAGTTAGCCTTATGTGCCTGGCTGTGTTCTGTTTTTTCTTTTTTTCTTTACAATTATATAGATTATATATACCTGTCATATAGATCAGCTCCATTACTTTCTATAATCAGTAATTGCTAGCTGCTAGGTCAGACTATGCTGAGGTGAATACTACCTGGTTGCTATTGTACTTGTTCTCAGCCCTTACTCCCCTGCTACCACCCTGCTCTGAGTTACTTACCCTTCCTGTGATCCACCTGCAGTTTCACAAACATTAAGCTCTCATAAGCCACTACTGCTGCCAAGAGTCTACCCCACCTTCTCCCTCCCCATCACTTCCCTCCTCCTATCAAAAAAACATTTGTATGGCTACACAATGAATTGGGT